GATGAAGGGATTGGAATTGAAAAGGATGAAGATAAGGCATTTAATTATTTTCAAAAATCTGCAGAGATGGGACACACCAAAGGAACATTTTACGTAGGACGTTGTTATGATAAAGGAATTGGGGTTGAAAAGGATGAACATAAGGCATTCCTTTATTATAAAAAATCAGCTGATATGGGACACGCTGGTGGAGCATATAATGTTGGATGTTGTTATCAAAATGGAATTGGAACTGGAAAAGATGAAAAGAAAGCGTTCATTTATTATCGAAAATCTACAGAAATGGGATACGCCGGTGGAGCATATAATGTAGGATGTTGTTATCAAAATGGAATTGGAGTTGAAAAGGACGAACATAAAGCATTTATTTATTATCAAAAATCTGCAGAGTTGGGATACGCTAATGGAACAAATAGAGTTGGATATTGTTATTATGAAGGAATTGGAGTCGAAAGAGATGGACATAAAGCATTCACTTATTTTCAAAAATCTGCTGACATGGGAAATATTCATGGAATGAATAATGTTGCACGTCATTATCAATTCGGAGAAGGGGTTAAAAAAGATGAAAATAAGGCATATTTTTATTATCAAAAAGCTGCCGAAATGGGGGATATTTGTGCGATTTGCAATCTTGGAGAATGTCATAAGAATGGAATTGGAGTTGAAAAGGATCTAAAAAAAGCCTTTGAATTGTACTTGAAATCCGCCAAACTTGATCTGCTTGATGGAATAAAACATGTCGAATATTGTTATCGAAATGGTATTGGAACTAAAAAGGATTTAAGAGAAGCCGAATATTGGTTTCGAATGTAAGTTTTTTTTTTTTTTTTTTTAAATATTTCGAATTCATCTGGTATACTAAATATAATTATTTATAGAGAGAAAAATAAATTTCAAGGTATATATATTTTTTATTTAATTCTGTTTTACTTTGTTGTTTATTTATATTTATTGATTTATTTATAACAGAAATAAATAAATTTTCATATACCGATATTGATGATAACGTGAAAAAAATATTGGATGATGAGACGTATCAATTTTTATGGATTCCATATAATAAGTTTGAAAATATTAAAGTGATTGGGAATGGAGGATTTGCAATTGTTTATCATGCCGAATGTCAAACTGAATATAAGGGTTCTTATAGTAAATATTCGTTCGCACTTAAAAAAATTCATGATCAGGATTTTTTTAGCGAGGTAAATTTATTTATCGATGTTTGTTTAATGTTTGAATTTATGATTAATAACTTTTTTTTTTTTTTATGTAGTTGAAAGCGTTTTGCGATATCGGACACAAAAATCCATTGTTCTTAAAGTGCTACGGACTATCAAGAGATAATTCAGGAAATTACGTTCTTATTTTTAAATATGCAGAAAAAGGATCTTTACGTAATAATCTTTATGAAATATCACGAATGAAATGGGAAGATAAATTAAAATTATTAAGTTGCATTGCATCAGATCTTGAAGCAATTCATTCGCAAGAATTAGAGCATCGAAATCTTCATAGTGGAAATATTTTGCAAGACGAATTGGATAATGCGTATATTACAGATTTGGGACTCTCTAATACAAAAAAAGAAGTGTGCGGAGTTTTACCTTATACGGCACCAGAAATTTTACAAGGAGAACCATATACTCGAGCAGTTGATATTTATGCTTTGGGTATCATTATGACAGAAATATCAACTGGAAGAACAGCTTTCGATGGTTATAATTTTGATAATGAACTTGCAATAAAAATTTGCCATGGATTAAGACCAGAATTTACATCAGATGATCCTGATTGTTATAATAAATTAGCCAAGCGATGCATGGATTCAACCCCGAGAAAACGACCTACTATCCGATCTATTAATGGTTTAATTACTCATTGGATTGAAGAAATAGAAAACTCTGATGATGAAAATGAAATAAAAAAGCAATTTTTAGAAGCTGATAAAATTACACCTAACATTGAATCGTCAAAACAGCCGAATCATAATTATATTAGTAAACCTATCGATATACAAGAAATATTAAACAGATTATCCGAACCGAATGAAGTTCCTAATGATTTATAACTGGATAAATGGTAAAGTAGTACGATATTATATTACGGTATTTAAATTAGTACGGACTTTCAAAGGAAAAATTGATTTTGCCGTACTCTTAATACAGTTTAGAGTTAATACGTAGTACATATCGATCTTAAAAGAAATTTATATTATAAGAAATCCTTACCTTTATACGAAAGGAACAGTTCTAGCACCCATCTCCAATTCAAATATTTAAATTCAATCCAAAATTTTTTTAAATATGATTTGAATTATCAGAATTAGAATATATTATCTTTTAAAATATATGAATCGCATTATTAGCTATAAATACTATTTTAATATTTTCTTAAGGTTTTTCGGTCATCATAATAAATACTTGTATTTAAATATTATTTAAAAATTTTAGAGCATTATATAATAAAATCTTCTTTTAGAAACATTATAAGTGTTCAACCCGCTTTTTTTTTTTACTAATTTTACATTAATTGAAAGGATTTTATCATTTAATAAGGTAAACAAGAATTGCGGGTTCATATGTAAAAATTTTTCAAAAGTTCTTTAGATAATTTATTATTTTATATACCGAACTTTACAATAATTTTGCTAAAAAGTTCATTACTTTTTATATAGTGTGTTAGTTATAAAAAGGTTCGTTATTTCCAGAGTTGACTGTAAGTAGTTTTTGTTTAGAAAGTATTATGATGTTCAAATGAATAAAGGTGATCAGTACCACTAACGCTATTAATATATTATCGGTGACTCTGTATTATACTATACTTATTTTGGTGGCGATATAGCGCTAGGTGGTTTTGTCACATTGGTCGAGAGCGCATTTACATGACTTTCCAACTTCTTTCATCGGATTGACATAGCTCTATCATTTGCAATATTAGTTATACTATTTATTGTTTCATTCATTCGTATTTATAGGCAAAAAAAAACCCCCCATTGAACCTTTTATGTGGGTAAATTACGAACTTTAAAGGAAAATACGATATTATGAGTATATCTTTTACTAAAAGTGGATATTTTACTGGCATTTGTTTTGTGAATTCAGTATACACCATAAAGTCGCAACATAACGCTCACGGGCGTTATTTCAGAAATTGCACCCTTTAAAAGAATTATATTTTGGTTCAAAATAGCTCTACGTGCGTTCTACTTTGTAGTGTTAGCGAATTTGATATATGGGGGGTCCCACAGCAAAAGGTGGCGATACGCCCAACCAATCAAATTTGAGATTTTATAATAGTTATTTTCTTAAGGATCTAAACTTTTATAAAAGTAATTTTTTTTATTATAATAAGTTAGTAAAAAAATGTACAAATTTGGATTTTTATTTGCGTATATATTTTGTTAAAGAATCGATCTACATACATACGTTCGTACGTCTATGTACATACCTGATACATTCTTATCGTTCTTATGCATGATTTACCGTTACACCATTTCGACATCTGATATTGCACATATTTCTACGTAGTAGCAGAATAGCCAGGCTACTTACGGTTGTAAATTCTTGTACAAACCTGTTAAATGCATAGGTTAATTGATGCATAAGTATCATTATGCAGGTAGCGAAAGCTGATACCGATACTGTACGTAACATGCGCATGTACTGTAAAATATAGCAATAATGAAATGATTTTTTCACACCTTGCTTTTAGTTTTAACAATAAGAATGGAATACAATTTATGTTTTAGCGATCAAAAAACAAATGAAGTCATTTTGACTGCTTTAAAAGATTTGGAAAATACGTTTTTTATCGAGCATTCAGATTCTGAAGAGAGTTCCAAATCAGATAATGACAATAATGAAGAAATTCTTGATATTAACGATAATATTAACTTAGATAAGTTAAATAAATTTGAATTTGTAGAAGTTCCCGAAAACTATATTGAAGATAAAGTGTATGATGATCTGAAAGTTACAATTAAAAATTTTTTTGAAAAAAAAAAATGTTCATGTCATTCTGAACAAACCTGCTTTAATCAAATCGGTTATGAACAGTTTCTTGCACGTCGTGCTGAATTTGAAAGTTTGGATAAAAATATGCGAGATATGGTTATTAAAGCACAGCTCATGGCTTTTCAAAAAAGTGAAGATAAAAAATATTTGCGTTTTCATTATTGTTATAATAATAGCATTCAAGTTTGCCATGATACATATTTGGTTCTTGTAGGAGTTAGTCATAAATATTCAGAATCTATTATAAAACATTTATGAGAACATGGTCTCGAAAAACATATACATGGGAATACAGGTAGAGCTCCAAAAAATATGAAGCACGTTGAAGTAAATTATAATGTAGCATGTGATATATTTAAGTTTTTAAAGAGCTATTCAGATATACATGGTATGCCCTCACCTGGACGACATTTTAAAGAAATCTCTATGCCAATTGTGTTTTTTTCTACCAGTTACAACTATGCTTCAGTATACCATGATTATGTGCAGGCTTTTAAAGATGAGTATGGAAATGATATTCATGTTATTGCTGAATCAACTTTTACTAATGTCTAGAAAGCTTTGATACCGTCACTTCAATTTATGTCTCCGAAGTCTAATTTGTGTGAAACTTGTGAGATGATGAAAATGGATATTCAATATGCAACTCAACATGAAAAAAAATTGGAACTTACTGAGAATTATTTGGCACATTTAAGTTGTGCATAGAAGAAACGTGACTACTATAATAATAATATTGTAAAGGCAGTTGAAGATGGTAAACGCAACGAAATTACAGTTGAATCTCAAGTACCATTCAAAACGTTTGAAGGAATTGCTCATATCGCATATGACTGGGCCCAAAATGTAAAAATACCTTATTCGCCACAGCAAGTAGAAGTATTATATTTCAAAAGTCCTCAAAAAGTACACTTATTCGGTGTTTGTAATACAGGTAATTTTTCTAATGCACAACAAACTAATTATATAATTGACAAAGCCGAAATGCCTGATGATGGTAAGCAAGAAAAAGGTGTAAATTGCACTCTAAGCTTGGTTTGGCATGCAATTCATAAGTATAATCGTAGGGAAAAAAAATTAGTTGTCACGTGCGATAACTGTGTCGGTCAAAATAAGAACAATTATTCATTATTTTTTTATTCATGGTTAATTGACTATGGTATATATAATGAAATTGAATTAAACTTTATGATACCTGGACATACCAAATTCATCTGTGATGGCTGTTTTGGTTTAATTAAAATTCTTTACCAAAAAAGTAAAGTGAATACCGTAGATGATATAGTATCAATTGTTAATCGTTCTACAACAGTTAATCTTAATGTTGCACAGCGTTATTTAAATGGAGAAGGGTTTCATTATTATGATTTTAAAATTTACTTTCAAGCATTTAAAAAGTTACCTAACATTCAAAAATATTATCACTTTTACTTTACTTCACAATACCCGGGAGTCATTTTTTACAAAGACAGTCTTGAAGATAATTACAAAACTTTTACAATACGTTCATTTTCTTTTGATTCAAATATTCTACCTCCTACAATCAATACTAAGCCACTTTCTATTAAGAGGCAAGAAGAGTTGTATAAAGAAATTGTGCCCTATGTTGATTTACCTTTTCACAATATTACTTGCCCAAAGCCAGAAGAATTAAAAACAAGTTAGTTAAAAATTTTGTTTTTGTTAGTTCTAAAATTTTATTAAGTTAATTATACACTAACTATATTTATTAGAATGAACATAAAAAAAGAATTAGGCTAGTATGATTATTGAAGTGAGATTCAGATATAAAATACTGGTGGGTTAAAAAAATGCTGTGCCACAAAAAATACTGTGCTGCAAAAAAACACCATGTCGCAAAAATTTTTTTATATAAAGTGAAAACTTGTTTCATAAGTAATTAAGCCAACAAGGCTGAGATTGGTAGTGTTAAATAGTTTTTTAAGAGGATTACATTAAGAAAATTTTTTTAAAAAAATAAATATCTTGAGGTTTCGCTACCAGAATTTTATGCCTCACATGATAATTTTAAACTAGATGATAATTAAAAACATTGAAATTATGTTGTATTAAAATTATGTATTTATTTACATTTCTGTATTGTAGGAATAAATAAAATGTACCGAAAGTAGACCAATACTTTAAAGAAAGTTTTTGTAAGATTTTATTCTAGGTTATAAGCATCGTTTTCTCAAAAATTTGAAAAATTTTATCATGATCATCATTACCACGTGATAATTTTAAATTGCGATTTTCTCATGATCATGTGATCTTCGTATCACCACCTTTTGCTGTGGGACCCCCCATATGGCGGTGAGTCAATAGAAAAGAGACAAATTTTTTCTAAGTAAAAGTTTTCTTGATTTTAAGCTTAAACAACTTAGCAATATCTTATCAAATTTAATAATTTTTTTATTTTATTTTAATTCTATATAATTTCAAGATTAAAATGATTTTTTTTTTTTAGCAAATTTGATTAAATAGTTGTTGCGATATTTTAATTTAAAAATTAAAAAAATTTTGCTAAAAACAATTTGTTCCCTTTCTACTGATTCTCCCATATGTACATTATGCTCAAAATTTTGATGCTTTATTTCAATAACGCGCAAAGGCGCTTTATTTCATGGTTATGCGTTAGTTCACTATTAGTTAAATGGTGATGTTGGTTACTGTTTGTTTTATTTTCTTGCTTTAAAATTTATTTTTTTTCAATGGTTTATCTGCTTTCTACATTTGAAAATATGGTTTGGTAACGTTCAGTTTGTAAATAATTTAGCAGTCAAGGAAACAAAAATTTGTCCCATCCAGTACTTGTTAAAGGCTAATAACTGTTTTCATTTTCATAAACAAATCACTCCAAAAAAATTTAAAAGTTTAAATACTGAAATAAAAAAAATGTAAATATATAATAAAATGTAATATAAAGTCTTTTCTTAAAGTTCACAATAAAAAAAAGTTGCAAATTTTGTTATTATTTAATATTAAATTTGGAAAATTTTTAAAGACCAATATACTAAAAAACCTTTTATAAAGTGATAAACATTCAAAACGTTGGTTGTTTTTATGATTTTGCAGTATATTAGCGAGTTTTATCATTCAACAAGTCAAACAAGGATTATATAAAACGAATAGTCTGTTTAGAAAAATTTTATATTTGTACAGTTTACGTCATCACTGATTTATCATCTTTTTTTTTATAGCTTAAAATTTTGTCCCTAAAAAAAAAAATAAAAAGGACACAAAGAAAAGTATAGTCGTCAATAACTGATTCACAATAACTATAAATTATATTCATTATGAATGAGTACTATGCGTACTACGTATCTGATTTGGTGGCGACGCTACTGCATTGGTAGTTAAGATTATAATGACGGAGAAATTTTAAAACCAAGAATATGCTGAAGAATATTAGATTTAACTTGTTTGTATTGAATAATTATAAATAAATTTATTACTTTTATGACCTGGTCGGTGCGAACGGTGACTAGATGGCAGTCCGCTATCCCAAATTTTGTAATTTTTGTCTAAGCATTGTTTATTTGCGTTAATACAAAATAGAAATGATCTATCTAAAGTTTGTGCCGAGGGCTTTCACTTAGTGACAGAAAACTGATTTCCATAACAGATCTGTAACTTTTTTGTAATTTTTTTTTTTAATTCAGTATTTGTTTTCATGTCAGATTGAATAGATCTCAGGATTGCCAAATTTTTGTACCATAACAATAATCAGATATTGTTTTTTTTTTTTACGATTGTTACTTTTGTTTCGCACTTCCATTGGTTAATTTTCATTGATACTATTTTATTTGTTAAATTAGGAAAATTAATAACATCGATAAAGAATTGTGCCTTTATACTGCAGAGGATAAATATTTATAATCTCAAGTTCGTGCAACATGATTTATTAAATTTGTACTTACCGCTCAGATTAACCAAAACTATCAACCATTTATAGCGACAAATCTAAATGATTTCTGTATTGCAGAATTGAAAGCTTTGTGAATAGTCTAATTTCATGCTCTTACTGTGCTGTTTCCGTGCAGAATGGGGCAGTGCGTGAGTTCTGTAAAAAGAATCTCAAATTTGCAAATTATAGTGTAAAAAAAAGATTCATCATAGAAATGTTCTCGTTATTTCTATCAATTCGGATTTTACCGTCCTTCATAAATTATATACTTTTAACATTTGATCGGTACTTTTTTCTTTATGGGTGTAATGTTTTAAATTTTAATAATAAATATCGATATAACAAAGGCTAATTAAATTCACAGTATATTGATGACAAAACCAATCTATATAATTTCTCTCAATATAGTTATCTTGCTAATAAAACTCGGTTTGAAACCATTTTTATTAATAAACTTGATGCTTTATAACATAAATATATTTGGTTTTATGATTGACACTTATGTGAAAGAATAATTTGATGTTGACATTGTCGCAATTGATAATTTATTATTTATCTTAACAATGAAGCTAATGAACAAAATTATATGTTTATAAAAAAGCGTTAACGGCTTAAATACTGTAAATATTGAAAGAAACTTCGTAGATTTGTTTTAAATTTAAATGATTACATAACTGAATCCAAAATTATTCATGGTTTATAAACATAAAATCTTAGAATTAGGATGGGCGCAAGAATTGTTCTTTTTCATACAGTATTAAGGGTTACTTATAGATGAATTTTCTTTGCTTAAAGAATTTCTATTAAGATCGATATGTATTGTCAGCTATTTATTAATATTTGCTATACCAACTAACAATATCCTACTATACCACATTACTATTTAATCTTTTATAAATCATTAGGAATTTCATACGCCTCAGATAATCTGCTTGATATTTCTTGTATATTGATAGGTTTACTGATATAATTATAATTGGGTTGTTTTGGCGATTCAATGTTAGGCTTAAATTTATCAACTTCTAAAAATTGCTTTTTTATTTCATTTTCATCATCACCAGAATCTTCTATTTCTTCAATCCAATGTGTAATTAAACCATTAATGGATCGAATATTAGGTCGTTTTCTCGGGTTTGAATCCATGCATCGCTTGGCTAATTTAATATAACAGTCAGGAATACCTGATGTAAATTCTGGTCTTAATCCAAAGCAAATTTTTATCGCAAGTTCATTATCAAAGCTATACCCATCGAAAGCCTTTCTTCCAGTTGATATTTCTGTCATAATGATACCCAAAGCATAAATATCGACTGCTTGTGTATATGGTTTTCTTTGTAAAATTTCTGGTGCCATATAAGGTAAAACTCCGTATACTTCCTGTTTTGTATTAGAGAGTCCCAAATCTGTAATATACGCGTTATCCAAATCGTCTTGCAAAATGTTTCCACTATGAAGATCCCGATGCTCCAATCCTTGTGAATGAATTGCTTCAAGATCTGATGTTATACAACTTAATAAATTTAATTTTTCTTTCCATTTCATCTGCGATACTTCGTGAAGATTATTACGTAAAGATCCCTTTTCTGCATATTTCAAAATAAGAATATAATTTCCTGAATCGTCTATTGACATCCCGTAGCATTTTAAGAACGATGGATTTTTATATCCAATCTCGCAAAACGCCTTTAACTTTAAAAATAAATATTAATAATAAATTCAAATTTAAATAAATTCATTGACTTTATTTACCTCGTCAAAAAAATCTTGCCCATGAATTTTTTTAAGTGCAAACGAATATTTATCAGAAGAATCTTCATATTCAATTTGACATTTAGCATGATAAACAGTTGCAAATCCACCTTTCCCAATCTCATTAATATTTTCAAATTTACTATATGGAATCCATAATAATTGATATTTCTCGTCATCCAATATTTTTTTCATGTTTTCATCAATATCACAATAAGAGAATTTCTTTATTTCTATTGATTTTTAAATCAATAAGATAATGATTTTAATAGAATAAAACAAATAATAATAATAATACCTTGAAATTTCGTTTTCTCCCTATTATTGTAATTATATTTAGTATTATAATAAAAAAAAAAATTTTTTTTAAAAAAAACTTACATTCGAAACCAATACTCAGCCTCTTTTAGATTCTTTCTTGTTCCGATACCATTTCGATAACAATATCCAACATTTTTTATTCCACCAGCTTGATCAAGCTTGGCAGATTTCAAGTATAATTCGAAAGCTTTTTTTAAATCCTTTTTAACTCCAATTCCATACTGATAACATTCTCCAAGACTACAAATCGCAAGTTCACATTCCATTTCAACAGCTTTTTGACAATAAATGAACGCCTTATTTTCATCTTTTTCGACGCCAATTCCCTTAAGATAACAATCTCCAACATTACCTATTCCATCGACGTTCCCCATCTCTGCAGATTTTTGAAAATATATAAATGCCTTATGTTCATCCTTTTCAACTCCAATTCCATTTCCATAACAATATCCAACACTATTCATTCCATCAGCGTCCCCCATCTCTGCAGATTTTTGATAATAAACGAATGCCTTATGTTCATCCTTTTCAAATCCTATTCCATTATAATAACAACATCCAACATTAAATGCTCCACCGACATGCCCCATATCAGCAGATTTTTGATAATAAATGAATGCCTTATGTTCATCCTTTTCAACCCCAATTCCGTCTCGATAACACCATCCAACATAATAGGTTCCTTCAGCGTCTCCCATCTCAGCAGATTTTTGATAATAAACGAATGCCTTATGTTCATCCTTTTCAACTCCAATTCCGTGATTATAACAATTTCCAACATTAA